CTTCCTCTCAACTGCTGGGGAGTTAGAGAAGTCTACCAAACTGGATAAAATTGCCAGACAATTAACAGTCACAGAGGGAATAAGATAGTTTGCAAATTTTCATTCAATCTTATAAAAATTAGATATAGATAGACAGACAGACAGACACACAGAGGAGTATTGGGAAGGCTGAGGAAATGACCTTGGAGAGGAGGCATAATGAAGAGACAGCAGAAAGTAACATGAAAGCCTAGGCCTTGATAAAATAAGGCAGAAGTTCACCTATCAGGATTGTGTGGAGGACTTTGGTGTGGAGGACTCCCAGGTATGGAGGAGAGGAGGGGATAAGGATGATGGCCATGGAGTGGTCAGCATGGTGAGAAGACAGCAAGAAGTCTTAACTCAACATTTAAGATTTATCCTTTAATAGACCCAAACTCTGATGTTTCTCCTGGGCATATCTTTGTTAACAGCATTACAAGGTTCCTAAATATGTTACTCCAGTAATTTCAGATTAAATTCCCCCTTTCCCCCAAACACACCATTATTGCAGCTGACCAATAGCAATACCCTCATACATGGGAAAGGTCTACATTTTTTCCTAAAACAACACAGGGAGTTCTAGAAGCTATCATGTAAAAGCTTTAGGTCAAAGACAATGAAATACTACAAGCAAAACCTCTACACTGGAGGGCCCTCCTCTGTCTGACCTTGCTTCTCCACATTCAGCACCCTATTTAACACTCAAAGTGAGAACTTAGAAAGACCTTAGCTTAAAAAGGCCAAGGTCTCCCACTGAATCCAGGGGGCCATCTCCAGTCATCCTGATCTATATCTTGCCACTGGACCCAGATGGCTCCAGAGGAGGAAGGGAGCCTGGTGACCGTGCACAACCCTCTCTCACTTAAATCTAATTCACCTGCAAATCATAGCATCATCTTCCTGATGTCATGATTCTCTTCAAGAACTAAGAACAAACAATAACCCTATTTAATACCTAAGGCATCTCAACTCTAACTGGAAGAACCCAAGAAACAACTATAAACTAAAAAGGTGGTTGACCTAGAGTGCCATGTCCAGCACTACAATAGTAGCAGCTGATTTTTATGTTGCACTTTATGATTATAAAGCACTTTCTCATTTGATCCATACAACAAGCTTCTGAGATCGGTATTATCTTCATTTTACAGATGAGCAAACTGAGCCTTGGAAAGATCAAATGTCTTGCCTAAGGGGTTACACAGCCAGTAAGGGGTGAATCCAGAATGAAAAATCAAGCCCTTCCAACTCCAGGTCTAGAACTTGGTTGACTGCTTCAAGAAGTAAAAAAGCGATACACAGCAATTCCCTGAAAAGAATAAAAAGGGGTAGCCTGATGTCTACAAATGTAGGGGGCAAGACTGTGTTCTTGTCCATCATCTACTGCATTTACTTTGAGGCTCCAATCAATAGAGCAAGTAAGACAAGTGACCTAGAAATAACTGCACAATAAAGTAGGAAGGACAGAAGGTGGGCAGGGCAAAGTCAACTCAGACACGTCCAGCCTATCCCAGGAGATGAAAAGGAAGGCACATTCCATTATTTCTCTCAGAGCAAAGAAAGGGGTCTTCTACCCATCTACTCTCACGCCAGCTAATGATGCTAAAAAGAATGGCCTACTGCTTGGCCCAGATCTGCCCTGAGTTCTAAAAGAGAGATGGCCATCCCAAAAGAATAAGAAAGCTAACATTCCAAATCACTTAAAAATCAGTTATCCACAGACCCCCCAACAATTTACTACAATCTAGAAATGCTTAACATATTCATACAAGTTCACTGATCATTAAAGCTAGAAGCAACCTCATTTGGATAGGTGAAGAAATAAACAGAAGTTCCAAATGGTGACCTAACTTGCCCAACATTACACAATTAATGACGTGACCAGGACTAGAAACTGGGTCTTATGAATACTAGTCCTAAGCTCTTTCCCTGGAACCACACCTTCCACAAATTCTAAGCCAATTTCACAAATTAAGGGCCTACAGTTCCAGCTGCAGTATCGGACACTAGGGATACCAAGACAAAACACAACTTCCCTCATGGAGTTTCCATTCTAATGGAACATAGAATATGTCCAAAAACCATAGGATCATAGATTGAGAGCTAAAAGGGAACCATCCACTTCAACTCTGACACTGACAGGTTAAGTGACTTGCTCAGGGTCACACTGCTATTAAACATCAAAGGAAAGATTCAAACTCAGTTCTTCCTGATTTCCTGACTTCTAAGTTCTCCTCTTTTCACTACACCATGATGTGTTTTAAGTAAATACAAAAACATATACAAAGTAATTTCAGTGGGAGGGGATCACAACAGATTTTGTGTAAGAGGTAGGAGTTAGGGATTCCAAGTGCCCTAGATGAGGAGGAGGAGGAACTAATTATTCATAGATAATTCATACTTGCCAAAGAATAATTCCCTCTGACTTAATAGATAACCAGACTAATAGATAACAGGGGCCAAGAAGTGAATAGTTCATTCAACAAATCTCAGTTAAGATTCACTATGTGCCTGTAATAGGTACTGGAAATTTGGAAGCACATATTATTCCTGCCATTATATCACTGAACCTATTACCTTCCAGCAATCTTAGCCATATCAAGGTCAGAAGAGAGTTAAACTATAGGTATGATGTTTAACAGGCTCCTGTCAGTAACATTACTACTACCTTGCATTAATATAAAAACTTTTTTTCTGTGAATTCAAATTACTTTAACTTGACCTCATTTGTCTTTCTAACATCTCTGCATCCCTATTAAGAAGACAGCAAGGTATAGTGGAACAGATCTTTAGGCTGGGATTTGAGAGACATGATTCTTAGTCCCAGCTCTGCCACCACTGACATTTCATTTTATCTCTCCAGGCCTCAGTCTGCTCCTCTGTAAAATGGGTGGATTTGGATCGCTAAAACTCTGAGTCTTAGAAGAATAAAAGCAGGTACTAGAATCTCCACTTTACAGAGAAGCTGAAGAACACAGAGGTCATGTTTTTCTTGCATAAAATCATGTAGCCACTGAATCTTGGATCTAGGAATCGAAGACATCCTGCTTCTCCACAAAGAACCCATCTTCCATTAGGTCACACACAACAATATAATACAATCCAGTCTTCTCAACAATAAGAAAGTTGGAAATATAAGCAGCTTGGGGGATTCTCAGTCTTGGAAGAGAAAAAAGAGAATGAATTTTAGATAAATGAAGCACAAAGTGCCACATGACCCTAAGACCTGATTTTTAAGTTGGCTTCTTGAAATATCAGCTTCCACCAGGTATCTGTTCATTATGGAGTCATCTTAACCACACCTATTGGGTGATGGGTTCACTCTTTCTACTGACTCAGGCACTAAAAAATAATATTGTTCTCTACTCTGTTCCCATCTGAGTCACTTAGAACTGAAAAAAAAGAAGAAAGATAAAATTACCCCCACTTCTCTCCTGTACACTCTCCTCCACACAATGCAAACTGGCTTAATACCCTAAGCAGGTATTGTATAGGAGCAATTTCCATACTTTCGAGGGAATGGTCAACTTTGGCTACAACAACAAACATTTATACAAGACTCCATGGTTTATTAAATACTTTACTTACCCCTCCCCAAAACAAACAAACAAACAAACACCCTGTGATCCAGGTAGGGCACCTTTCAGAGATAAGAACACGGAGTCTCAAAGAGGTCAAATGACTCACCCAAAGTCACCTGGATGGTTAGGAGTAGAAGAGAGACTTGCACACAAGTCTCTTGACTCCCAATCCAGTGTTCTTTCCACCACACCACTCAGAGGAAGCAGCTAAATAAATTGCTTCTGAGGTTCCACAAATGAGATATTCTGAGTAGAGACCCAGTTTCATAGAGATCAATGACCCAGATCACAGAGTATTTTTCTTCACCTTGCCTAGCACAGATCTCTACATAAAAACTTACTAGTTCAAGTCACTAAAACTCCTAACACTTCCAGGTAAATCCATTATAGACCAAGAGTTCATTTTGGGGTCCCTATAAATCACTTACCTAGTCCTACTGTCTGCAGTAAAAACCAATGGACCTCACTACTGTAGTTAGATTCCCAGATCTGGTCAGGCTCAGGCCTGATTTACCCTTCCTAAAACAAAGATAGTTCATTCTCTCCCCGTTGCCACTAGAATGGTCTCTTTATACTCCTATCCCGGAAGGACTCTGAAGCCCAAGGGCCTATGGCATTACCCCCATGACCCTGGTAAATGTTGTTTTAATCAATAGTAAGTTCTTCAGAAACATTGCAAGGTGCCCTTCGTCCCCAAAGACAAACCAGGAAATAAAAGAGGAAGAACTGGAAGCCACCACACAGGATGGGCCCCCTAATCTGTGGGGCCTCCGGTAGTTCCTGGAGTCACAGGGTATGGAAGTGTAAGGAAGGCTGAAACTTCCTCTTATGTTGACTTGGGGAACTATAAATCTAGATTGATTGGTTCCCCTCCCCCCTCCTCCAAAAATTAAATTAATAAATAAAAACAGTATTTGAGGAATAAGGACAACCAAGGACAGGCAAGAGGTGAGAGCACCCTGTAAGAGGAACACCTTCTGGCTAGCCCCCGGAGCTTTCCAGGTGACATCTGGCCAGAGGCCACAGAGATCCTCCCTCTGGCCATTTGGTCTGGCCTGGGCTCAAAAACATCTCCCCCCAGCTCCCTGCCCTGGAAGCTCCAGGGTTACCAAAGGGCGGGCTGGCCGCCTGCCCTGCTCTCCTCCGAGGCTGCTCTGCCCACCCCACGGTCGCCCAAGCGTCTGCTCCATCCTCCAAGGACCCAAGTCCCCGAAGCTGAATCAGGAGCCCACACCTGCCTGCCCTTGGCCGCGGAGACCAGCTGCTCCCGGCCACCATCTCCGGGGCATCCTCGTCCCCTCCCGTCCTCTCCTCTCCTCTCCCTCCGGAGAAGACGGGCAAGTTCAGTAAGACGACAGCAACAGTAACAACAGGCTCCCGTCATAAATAAATTAGCACTACCTCCTGCCGACTTTTCGGGATGCCCAGGAGTGCCGGCAGCGGCGGGACGGACGGACGGACAGAGCTCGCGCCGGGCGGGGCTGACCGGGGCCGGGACTGCAACAGTTTCACTTAGCCCGCGTTTCCTCCTGGTCCCAGGTCCAGAGCTCTGGCGGCCGGAGGGAGGGCCGGGGGCGGGGAGGGGGTGCGGAGGGGAGGGGCCTGGCTGCGGTGCGGATCCCCTCCCTCCTTCCCTCCCTCCCTCCTCCCCGGCCCGGCCCCGGCGCGCGGCGGCGGACAAGGCTGGGCTCGGTGGGCCCGGCGGCCCGGCGTGGGGGCCCCTGGGGGGGCCGAGGCGGGCGGCGAAGGCCCTGCCTGGAGCCCTCAGAGCCCCGGCTCCGGGACGCACTCACCCGCGCAGTCCGGAGGCGCCTGCAGACGCCCCGCGGCCCCGGGCCCCCCAGCCCAGCCGGGCCCGGCCCCGGCCCCGGGCCTCCCTCCACCAGCGATCGGGCGCCGCGCCACAACTTCTGCCTCCGGAGAGAGCCGGGAGAGCAGCGCCGCCCCTGCCGGCCGCCCGCCCGCCCTCCTCCCTCCCCGCGCCGCAACTCGGCTCGGCTCGGCTCGGTACCGCTCGCCCGGCCGCTTTGGAAACTGTTTCCTCTGCCTCAGCCTGAGGAGCCCAGCCGAGCGCGCTCGGGAGTCCAGAAACCCGGCCTTACGCCGTCTCCGTAGCGTAGCCCTCCATAAGGGGTTCGGCAGCTACGGCGCGCCGGGAGCGAAAGCGGCTCTGTGAATCGCGCGCCGAGACTACAAGCCCCAGAAAGCTGGGGGGGCGGGTAGGCCAGAACGGAAGCTGGAGGCATGCTGGGAGTTGTAGTTGTTATGGCAGGTCGCCTTAGAAGTCCCCAGGTAGGGATGGATGTTCTCAATCAGGCTTCAGAGCTCAGGGTGCTCGAGTTGCTGATTGAGGGGCCGCGAAGCTGTCCGGGGCTGCACCTTGAGGACAAGAATGCGCGTAGTGGGATTGTGACTACATACCCCGGTATGCTCTTCGGTGGGGGGGGGTTCGAGGAGGTGGAGGACAGCCACAAGAGCCTCAGACTATTCCGAGGACCCTCCTGCCCATTTGCTCGAGCTCCAAAGACGCCCCCTCCACCTCCTTAGCCCCACGGAACCCCCTGCCTCCTCAGCGACCTGTACCTTTGTCCCAGGCCCAAGGACTTCCGTGCCTCTCAGTGCCACTCCATCCCCAGCCCCAAGGACCCCTCTGTCTCCTCAGAGCCGCCACATCCCCAGCCCCAAAAACCTGTACTGCTTCCTGAACTCCCCACGTCTCTCTGCACCTTTGCCCCAGCCTTAGGGACCCCCACCTCCTTAGCCCCCGCTAAGGGACCACCCCGCCTTCTCAATGCCCCCCAGACCCTCCTTCCCCCGTGGCATTAGCCCCAAGGATTCCCCCTGCCTTCACTGTGCCCACACATCCACAGCCCCCAAAACCCCCTTCCTCCTCAGTGTCCCCACATCCCCCTGCACCTTCGTCCCAGCTTCAGCGACCACGCTGCCTTTTCAATCCCCTTAGGCCCTCTTCCCCCTTCTCCTTAGCCTCAAGGATTCCCCCGCCTCCTCAGTGCTCTCACATTCCCTTGCCGGTTTACTCCAGCCCCAGGGATACCCTGCCTCCTCAGAAACTCCTCCCAGCCCCTCCTCAGCCTCCCTATTTTGCCTCCTCACACCTCCACCCCTTCTCCGAATTCTTCATAGGATCAATTTTTCTCAGTGTTCGTCTTTTGACCTTACCCAATACATATCTGCTTCTTTGAAACCCCTCATCTCCTCAGGGTCATTTTGCTTTTTCATTCTGCCTCCCCAGACCTTCTGAAGACTACTCCCTCGTTCCGTCTCAAACCCTTCTCAATCCCCGTCTGCCTTCTGTCTCAGCATCTTCAGAAGGAACACCTTAAACTTCATCATACTTCAAACTCCCCCCAGTTCCCATTTGATTCAGAACCTCTCCTAACTTTCTCGTTCTGCCTCTTCAGTCACCTCTCATCCTCTTTTTTAAAAAAAGTTTTTATTACTAACTAGAAAACCATTGAAAAACAAGCATTTACTATACAAAGAAGGCCGGAAAGGGGGATTGTGTATGGAATTGTGGATAGATTACTCACATCTTGGTTTTTTCATGCATATTAAATTTAACATTGTAGTGCCAACATTCTTCTTCTCTGAGAGAGGGGTAACAGACTAGAACAGGAGTGGAGAACCTGTGGCCTTGAGGCCTTTAATAAAAGGGATTTGTTCTGTGAAGTTTGGATTCAAAGGGCTGTGCTTGAGGACCTAGAGGGCCACATGCAGCCTCAAGGCTGCAGATTCCTCACCTCTGGGCTAGAAATATATCTATCTGCCCTTCTAAATAGTGCTGGTCCAAAGTTAGGATTGATTCAGAACAAAAAAGCCACTTTTTCTCTTAAGGGAGAGGGTATACCTAGCTTTGTCCTCCAGCTTACTGCCTTACTACCTAATGTAGGTTACATAAAAGACCATCACAAATGGCAAATAGTGAATAAACCCATTTATCCAAGCTGAGAGCAGACAGAAATCAGAGAAGTTATGCAGGTTAGAATATACCAGAAAATACACAGAGTGAATAAGCTCTTCTGGTAGAAGAGTGAATAAGCTCTTCAGTTCGACAAAGAGAGAGAGATCCTGATCTCATCCAAAAGGAAATTCTCTGAAGTCTCTAGAGAAGCAAACTGAAATCAGAGACATATTGAGGGGCCGCTTCTCTTATGTGTTGGTTAAAAAAAAAAAAGTCTCTCCTTCCTGGAGTTGGTCCCAAAGAGATTCCAGGAAGGAGACTCCAGTATTATCCTCAGACTCAAAGTCATTACTATCCACAAGGTAGAAGTTCCTAGAGGGAAGGGATGGCTGTTCCCTCAGACTTGGAAACTGTCCCCTCCAGGACTACTCACCCACTTCCCATTCCTATTGGAGGACCGGGGATAACCCATTAGAAAAAAAGTATTTGTTAAGGTGGCATAGAACATTCCCTCAAAGGTATGAAATACATTCTCTCACAAATACACACTGGAAGTCCATGGGGAAAATAGGCTGAAACAATGACAGGGACGCATGTGTGTAGTAACATTTGTGACCAAAGAGTAAACTCACAACCCTTGGTTACTAGGAGTCCTTTCTCGATTCCATAACCAACACTGTTTTCTGGTAAAAGGAGTTATGTTATTTAAAGCTTGCTCTGTCCCTTGAGTGGCTATCTTGCTGTATACACTTGGCTGGAGCTCTTTCACCATTAGACTGGTCCATTGCTTAAGTGGCCCGCTGCTTAATCAAACCATTGTCGAAGTTTCTTCTGCTATTTAAAGTCCCCAGAGGTATGGTTAGCTTATTCAGTTAGCCACTCACGATTTTTTTAACCCAATTAAAGAGGAGTTTGTATTGGAAAAAGGGATCACAAGATGCAAACAATCTTATTTACACATTTTAAAAAGGCAGGGATGTCTGCTGCCTTGATTGATTGAAGTGAGGTTGTAGAACTTCAGTGAAAGCTGGGTCAGTCGTTTCCTCTGGGCTCCCAGGGATCAGGGCCACCCAAGCTATTCTTTTCACAAGGGAGGAGGCAGCCCTGGCCTCCATTAGAGGACAATGAAATAGTAAACAGATACCTCAGTTTCCTCATCTGTAAAATGAGCTGGAGAAGAAAATGACAAAATCACTCCAGTATCTTTGACAAGAAAACCTCAAATGGGGTCATGAAGAATAGGACGCAGCTGAACAACAACAGCAACCCTAGGTCCAGAACCCAAGTCTTGACTCCTAGTCCAGATTTTCTTTCACTAAACCCCAAAACCTCAGACTAGAATCCTGGAATATTGCCCAAGTATAGAAAGGTTTGGGAGGGGAATTGAATTGGGAAGTCCTAGCAGCCTGAGGCCAAAGAGAAGAGTGAGTCCAAGTTACCTCTTTGTTTCTCTTCTGTTTTACCCCTCTGTTCCAATAATTCAATTAAACAGCCAGTCAATAATCGTTTGTTAAAGGCTTAGTACATGCTAGGCACTGTGCTAAAAATACTAGAGAATACTAAGATAGGCAGAAAGACAGTTCCTGCCCTTATGGGGGTCACCTTCTAATGGGGGAGACAAAATGCAGACAACTCTGTACATGCAAGATGTACACACACACACACACATACATACACAGTGTAAATGGGAGGTAATCTCATAATCTCAGAGGCACTGCCCTAGCAACCTCTTTAAAGAAACTGTTCCCAGTAGGATTTAAACTGAGCCAGGAAGGAAACCAGGGAAGCCCAGGAGGTAGATGTGAGGAGGGAGAGCATTCTAGGTATAAAGGACAGTCAGTGGAAAGGCAGAGACTCTTTTAAATGCTATTAAATAGTTATTTGAAGGTTTAAAGCTATTAAACATGCATTTAATAGGGGTCCACTACGTTCAATGATAAAAAGACAAAAAGGAAAAAAAAACCTCTCCCTGCCTTCAGGAAGCTTTCATTCCACTTGAGATACAACTTGTGAACAGAGAAGTCAATATAAGATAACTGGAGGAGGGAGAGAATGCTAACAACTAGAGGGATGAAGAAAGGTGTGCACTTGGAGGTGGCACATGAGCTGAACCTTGAAAGAAGCCAGGGATTCTTAGGGACAGAAGTGAGGAAGGACTGTTTTCCAGCTATGGGGGAACCTCCTGAGGTAGAATACTGAATCAGGGAACAGCCAGTGGGCAGGTTTGGCTGAGTCAGGATGTGAAAAGGGGACTGTCTAGAAAGATAGGGTAGAGTTAGACTGCTTGTGGCTGATTTATGTTGTTGACTTGACCCTATTCAAGAGTTTCAAGGCTGGAGAAACCATAACTCCTCATCCTGACCTTCCCTCCTCCCCCCCTTCCATACTCATATCCCTTCCTAATGCAGAGAAGCTGGTTAAACCAGACAAACCCTTCCTGAACTAGGAAGAAGCCTGGTAAGCTCACACAAAAATGACCTGTTGCTCATCTCTTACTCATAGGTTATTTCCAGGCATTCTCTCCATCTCAAATACCCTCCCTGGGCCAACACTCTCTGATCTTCCCCTATAAACCTACTCAAAACTCACCTCCTTTAAAAAGTCTTTCCTGAACTGGGGCTG